TGTGTGTGTGTGTGGCTGGGCAGGGGTAGTGGTGGGGAGATGCTGAGTCAGTTTCTGTTCACTGAAGTAAACGTCTGACAGGCACAATATATTCCTGTTTTGCAGTTAGAATGGTCACAAAACGTGTCTGGTAGAGCTTGGTTCGGACCTCAAAAGCTTTATGAAAAATTTCACTTCTCTTAAGCTTTAAGACCTTTCCATTTTCACTAAGATTTAGCCCCATTTCCCTGAGATGAGCAAGTGTCCCCCCACCCCAGGCTTCAAGCTAATTGTCCCATGATGTTTTCTTCCTCCTCTGTGCTCATCTCGGAGGAGCCAGTGGCCTCACCCAAATCCAACCCCCTGCCTTTGGTCAGGTCCTTCCCTCTCTGCTTTAGGAGTATCTGCATTACATCTCCCTCCCTTCCCTTTCCCCTTTCCTCCACATCCAAGGCTTATTAAGTACCTACTACTATCTTTAATTTCCGCTTCATCAGCCACTTTCCTGGTAGTTCTTGTTCAGGACTCTCCCAGTGCTCTTCGTTTCTCCACTGCCATGATAGCCCTCACTCTTGTCTGAATTCTCTTCCTTTTCTGGCTTTTCTTCTCTGTAGCTCCACCAAGACAGAAGGGAACCCAGGGAAAGGTGGCCAGGCAGGGTAAACAGAGTCAGGATAGGATTCCTGGGGGCAACTGTGTACCAACCGAAGGTTTTGTATAACGAGGATACTGACCGGTCCCGTTCCTGGCCCGGGGCCTCCTACCATTCCTGAAGGGAGAGTAGTTCTCTTCCTGTATTCTTCCAGGGAAGCAGCTTTGACCAACTAGGTTCTCTGGTCACTCCAATTTGTTCTCACAGCTGCAGGATCAGTTCCACTTAACATGGACACTCACCTGTTGGGTGCTCCTGAGGCCTCAGCACCTTGCTGTATTTCTTCAAAAGTTTCTTGCTTTGCATTAAACAATCCATCTTTACTTACAGCTTCTTCAGCTAAAATAAGAATATAAATGTCATCATCTGCATTTTCCCCCCTCAATTCAATATCCAGAGGGAATAGGATTTTCAAATTAAAATCATCAGGTGCCCCAGAAGTGCCGTCACAGCCAGTCCTACAAAGTGTGGCACAGCATGGGAAGATAATAAGAAACGTCAGTTAGCTGGAGAGCATGTCTAACAAGGCAAAGCAAATTTAGAGAAAATTCTACTTGGACAATAGTATTCGCAGAGAGTGAAGAGAACTTCCTCCAATATGAAGAAGGGATCAGGCAGAGGAGTTTGTGAGACTTCCAGACATGAAGAGCTGTCTGAAGACGACAATTACATGGCCCTTTATAAGGAAGAAAATGGGAAGCAAGGCAGGACTCGTGAGAAATGATCAGAGAAGATAACAAGAATCATTAAGCTGCCTGAGGGGGAGGGATGCAAAATGGTAAAGACGGAGAAGTGTGCAGGCAGAGGGCAGAAGCGGAAGGGAAAGCAAGGGTCTGGAGGGAATGTGGGCTCCCCGGGGCCAGGTCGGAGTTAATGATGGGACAGGGGAGCAGCCCAAGGCTGTCACTACTTATCAGATGGAAGTCCGTAACCTTCTGAGCTGAGTTCCCATAGAGGAGCGCTCTCTCCTCTGAGCCAGACTCAGAAGTGGCCATTCTGGGAAATCGGCAAAGGACAGCCTCTTGGGGTCCTCGTTGTGGTGAGGACAGGGGTCCAGTTGTGAAGGGTGGTGGCTTCCACACTGTAGACCGGTGGTGCCAAGACAGGGACCATCCTTGCCTCTCTCCTGGGCTGTGGGGGTCGGCAGCAGTCCAGAGGGTTCTCTGGCTGGGAGGTCCCTTGTTCTGATCTCTGCCTTCACATTATAAGGACACCAGTCACCAGCCCTGGGGCCCTCCCAGATCCTGTACAACCTCATCTTCACTTGCTTATACCCACAGAGTGTCTTTCAAAATCAGACCACACTCATAGGTACCTACAGTTAGGGACGCAGATCTTTCAGGGGGACACAGTTCAACCCACACCATCAGTTACATTGATTGAAAATCCTGTAAGTTTTACTTCCTATACAATTCTTTTCATAAGAGTAAATTAAGAACAGAAGACTCTGGGTTCAACAGGATCAGGAACCAGTTAGAATCCGCAGTAAGGGACCAAGTGAGGAGAGGACTCCACAGGCACATGTTTTGAGAAAACTGAGGTAGCAACACAGGACTTAAATTTTAACTAAATGACTAGGAAAATGATTGAACCACCGTGAGATCAAGGAAAAAAAGGGTCCTCTGTGGTAATGTGAAGTTTTGCTAAGGACAGAATTCCCATTACCATCGTAACTGTGAGGTCTGTGCAGGAACACCAAGAATCTAAAGGAGTGTGAGGAGGAACCTCCCAAAATAAAGCATCCGGCCCTGAGCCTCAAAGGAGTGGAGGCACGGTCTGCAACCAGGCATCTCCCTGCCCTTCCTCCCTCCCTCCAGACGTGGATGTGCCTCCTCCACACGGTACAGAATGAGGCAACAGCCGGTCATTGAAACGAGCCCCTGCGCGAGGCATGCGTGGTCTGCTCTCGTCACAAGGGGAACGCAGGGGGCTGGTGCCACCCAGAAGCTCCCACAGGTGAGGACTGCTACCCACGTGCCCGTGAGCTGGGAGGAGACCGGAGTCCCGCGTGAGACCTGACAGCCTTGACGAGCGCCTTTTGTGGGGGCCCGGCCTGCACACCTTCTGTATAGTGAACATCCCCCATTGCCGTGTCCACTTTGCCAGGGAGCCTACCATTCTAAAACTTCAGGGCCTGCCATCCACACAACTGAGTGCTTATGAACTGGTCAAGTGCTTTACCGTGATGCACTGGTACATATCAGAGGAGGGAGAAGCTAGTGCTAAAGGAGAAATTAAGCTGAGAACAGATA